TATTATTATGTAAAAGTAAAAATTTGAGGTTTGATATTACTAGCTTATTCTACTGTACCAAAGGGAGTCGGAAGTCAATGTCTTTTTTTTCTTTCTTCCCCCTTGCCCCACACTTTTTCCTTCTCTTTTTCTTTCCCTGTTTTCCTACTATTTTTCTTGTATTTTTATTATATATTATAAACTAATAAAAAATTAAAATGTACAATCTAAGGAAAAAAAGATTCAGCATTAACAGCATTGAATTGCCTGCCTGTTATTTTAGACAAACTCTTTGAATTTGAATAAAAAAAATTCAAGAAGAAACCAGCATGGTTGCACAAAGATCTCTCTGATAAACAAAAAGACAAAAAAAAGGGAAAGGAACACATAACTAAGAATAGAATAGAATACTTTATTGGCCAAGTGTGATTGGACACACAAGGTATTCGTCTTAGTATAAATATTCTCAGTATACATAAAAGAAAAGATACATTCGTCAGGAGTTGAGAATCATAAGGTACGACACTTAATGATAGTCATAGAGTACAATAAGCAATCAATCATACTAGGAAACAGTCGATATAAGTCGTATACAAGCGACAAACTTACAGTCATACAGCCACAAGTGGGAGGGGATGGGGTGATAAGGAGTGATGACAAGATTAACAGTAATAGTAGTGCAGACTTTGTAATAGTTGAACAGGGTTGAAGGAATTATTTGTTTAGCAGAGTGATGGCTTTCGGAAAAAAGCTGTTCTTGTGTCTAGTTGTTCTGGTGTGCAATGCTCTATAGCATCGTTTTGAGGGAAGGAGTTGAAACAGTTTATGTCCAGGATGTGAGGAGTCTGTAAATATTTTCACAGCCCTCTTTTTGACGTGTGCAGTATACAGAATGTCAGCAGATAACCCAAATCTGCAAAGATGAAGTCAGGAAAGCAAAGGCTCAGAATGAACAAACACTTGCAACAAAACTCAAAGATAATAAAAAAAAGTTTCTTTCAATATATAAATAACAAGAAAAAAGTCAAGGAAACAGTCGATCTACTAAAAAGAGAAAATGGCAAGGAAGTAACAGGCAACAGGGAAACCAGAGCTGTTTAACTCATTCTTTGCATCAGTTTTCATGCAAAAAGAAACTATAGCCCAACTTACCAAAAACATAATAAGTAAGAAAGTGGTACTTGATCTTGATGAATATAAATGACTAGGACCTGATGGATAACATCCAAGAGTTCTAAAGGAGCTGGAAGATGTTATCTCAGAACCATTGTACCATATCTTTAAAAAACCCTAGAGCACAAGGGAACTGCCAGTGGACTGGAAAAGAGCTGATACTGTTCCCAGCTTCAAAAAGAAAAATAACAAACCTAGTAAGCTACAGACCAATCAGTCTAACATCAATACGTGGGAAGATACTCTTCTGACCCAACCCTGTTACCAGCAAGAAAATTTCAAACAAACGCAGCAACTCAAACCTTCTCAGCTTTAATCTACAAATAACTTCTTTGTAGATAAAAGATAGCTTGCAGCCAATTAGTCCAACCAGAAAAACCTTGACAGAATTCTTCAGATAAGCCAGAGTCTCTACACACAATGCTGGGTCCTCAGAGTGTTTTTGCCTTTTGAAACCAGGCTTATATTCCCTGGAGGGAGGGACCATTACTTTGCATTCTTACTCCTGAGTTGCCTGCTGTTCTCTTCTACAAATCATCCTGCACTCACACGCACTTGGCACAGGCTCCTCAGGAACCTCATCACTGCTGCCAGCTCCCACAATCCCTGAAGGCAGCAGTCTATTCCCTGATGGTCCCAGCCCCTCATCTGAGTCCTCGCTCTCCTCCACCATCCGCCCCTGCCGCCGGCTAACCACAACAGATACTGGAAAAAAATTTAAAAAAAAAATCACCCGTGAACATCTAGAAACAAATACTCTTATAACTAGTAGCCAGCACAGGTTTGTTAAAAAAGGATCATGCCAAACCAATCTTATTTCATACATTGACAAAATGACTAAATTAGAAGACGAGAGAAATGCTGTTGATATACTTCAGCAAGTCATGAGGGAATGGAAGGGGAAATCATCAAATTTGCAGATGAGAGTAAGCCGGTAGGTTATGGCAGACTATAACCTACTTCTTGGTAAACTAGAAAAATGTGGGATAGACAGCATCACCACCAGATGGATTTGTAACTGGTTGACAAACTATACTCAACAAATAGTCCTTAATTGTAGTACATCTACATGGTTGGAAGTAAGCAGTAGAGTACCACAAAGTTCCGTCTTAGGCCAGCACTCTTTAATATGTTCATGAATGACTTAGAAGAGGGAATAGAAGGGTAACTCATGAAATATGACACTAAGTTGGCAGGAATAGCCAATACTCGAGAAGACAAGCTCAGGATCTGAAAAGATCTTGATAGACTTGAACAATGGACCCTATCCAACAAAATGAAATTTAATCTGGAGAAAAGCAAGGTTTTACACATAAACAGGAAAAACAAAAGGCATAAGTACAGAGTAGGCAAAACCTGGCTCAAAAATAGTAAATGTGAGAGGGACCGTGGATTTCAAATGGGCGATCACTTAAACATGAGCCAGCAGTGTGCTGCAGCAGCCAAAAAAGCTAATACAATCCTTGATTGTATAGGTATATAATCAAAATCATGTGACCACTTTATAAAGTCTTAGTAAGTCTATATCTGGAATAATGCATCCAGTTTTGGTCACATTTCAAAAAAGATGTTGAGATTTGGAAACAGCGCAAAGAAGAGCAACTAAGATGAGTAAAGGCCTGGAGACAAAAACATGAATGGTTGTGGGAATTGGGTATGGCCAATCTAGAGGAAAGAAGGAGGAAATGTGAAAAGATAGCAGAATTTCAGTATTTGAGGGGCTGCCACAAAGAAGAGGGGGTCAACTTATTTTCCAAATACCAGAGAGCAGGGTCAGAAATAATGGGTAGAAACTTCAAAGAGAGAAGCAACCTGGAATAACAGTGAGAACAATTAACCAGTCAAAGAGCATGCCTTCAAAAGTTGTAGGTGCTTCATCACTAGAGGTTTTTAAGAAGAGACTGGACAGTCACTTGTCTGAAATGGTCTAAGGTCTCCTGCTTGAGCAGAGGACTGGACTAGAAGATCTCCAATGTCCCTTCCAGCTGTATTCTGATTTAATTCAGATTTTTGCTTACATGCTTAGAACTCTGACTAAGTATAATACAGAAGCATCACTATTTTGAAAAAAGTCAAAGATATCCCAGTACATAATTGTATAAATACGTCATAAATAGCTTACATTCAAATTTGCTGACTACCTAGAAATGGCATTTTTTTCCCCAGAAATTGGTTAATGTCAACTTGTGAACAAAGTCATATTTTTCAGTGGAACATTCTGTAATTGTATCAGTGCTACATAGATACTACATTTCAATCTGAATAGCTATTGTTTGTAGACCCCCCTTCCAAACTTAGGTCTGAACTTAATTTCTATATCTGATGGAAACTTGCTTTAATTCCCATCAATTTCAATTCCTTTGAGGTTGGTCATTAGTTACTTTTTTTGGTGCCATTGTAACTTTGGACAGTCACTAAATGAACTGTTGTAAGTCAAGGACTACCTGTACTGTCTTTAATATTGACTGAGGCTGAGCTGCTCCCCTTTACTTGCACCAAGGCAAGAAGAAAATGTTACTCTCTGTCTTCTGTGAAATTGATAACAATTTCTTAAAATGCAATCAGATTCAGTGTCCTTTAGAGAAGTGCCAGGAAGGTTTTCCCAACCAAGGGAAATATAGAAGAAAATACTGATGCTTTAATTTCCTATGATCAGAGAAAATGAGTAAGAATTGAATAATAAAATCCAAACAGAGATTACATACTGAAAATGCCATTCCACAATTTTGTAGAGTTGATACAGGAAACAAGTGACTTAGAACTGAAAATGCATATTAAGTAGGAAGAAGAAAACAACAACTGTAAGCTAAAAAATAGAAAAATAAATCTCTTCCTCTGCAGAGCTGTTATTTGAATTAAAAATTGAATTTACTTGAAATAAAAATCTAACACTGTTATAATACTGTTTCTAGCACACAAATACTTAAATATTGTTAAAATATTGTTTCCAGCACCCAAGATTCTTTTAACACAAATATATACACATGTAAACTTATAGTATATCAGTGGTACCATAAAATTAATCAAGACTTTGTATTATATCTATGTTTGCTTTCAGTAACTTGGTTGTCATACTAATTATGATATCAGTCATGCAGTTAGAACCAATGTGAATATTAAAATATATAAGTTTGATATCTGATCTGCATCATACCATTCTTAAGTATGGTATGATACAGATCAGATATCAAACTCATATTTCTATTGTATAACAATAGAAATAGTACTGAACATTTTATAAGTTTAGGATTTTTTCTTGATAAATTACACATACTTTAATCAATATTATTTTACTCATTAATCTTTCCTAGCTATTTAATAAATATATTCATACAAATTTTAAATAAAACATGGTAATAGAACAAGTGCCATCATATCTCTAATTATATTCAATAATCTTATCCATATAATTTTACTTTTTTATACAATCCCATTTTCCGTAAATGCTTTCTAATATATAATATTAGTGCTGATACTGGAATTTTGCTTTTATTTCTATTTCTGTTTCATTTCTATTTCCTTTCCAAAAGTGTAGTTGATAGTACATATGTATGTTATGCCGGTATTTAGCTGAATCAATGTTGACTGTTGTTTTTAATCCTATAGACACACACACACACACACACGTGTGTGTGTGTGTGTGTGTGTGTTTCAATTTCTGTAGCCACTCATTTCAATCCAACTCTGGTGTGTGTGTGTATGTATGTGTGAAGACAGAAGTATGGTAACAAATTGTTCAAGTTCGTATTATTAAATTAATTTGTGTGAAGAAGTTAAATTGTCCTGCTAGGCACATATGACTATCCATTACATTCATATGTGTTATTTTTGTCCTTTGATTTTAACAGTTAGATCAGGCTGGATACCACCACCACCTGCTCTACCTCCCAGGCCCTTTATATCACAGGTGTGTTAATAATTTCAGCATGATGTTATGCTTAATATCTATCTTAAAAGGGAGAGATAAAAAAAGTTTTTTCTTGCCCAACCATCCATCAAAGCACACAAGACAAAGACAGTACCATTAATTATAATTTTTAGGAACTATTCAGTAGTTAACTTCAACAAGACATCCTATAGCTTAAAAAAAATGGTATTCAAAGGGAAAAGTGGATTAAGAAAATGTTTCCAAATCTGTTATAAATTCTGTAATTATTATAATCAGTAATCAATAATCCAAATAATTTTCAGTGATTTGAACAATCACTAAACAGAGTCAAAGACTGCCTGTATGTTTCTTGATGGAACTTAAAAGAATTGAAAATATCAATCAACCAGTAAAACCCGTGCTATACTTTCTGAATCTTTTTTTCATATAATAATAGTTGGTTAATCCTGCTCTTGTTATGCAAAATGGAGTTTGAAAAAAGATTCCTAAATATTGAGACTTATTCTGGAAGTCTAAATGATAGTTTCTAACAAAACTTAATTGCTTGTTTTCAAGACACTACCTTTAAGATTACTGATGAATTCTGACTGCCCAATATTATAATATTAACTATTATCCTGATGATTTCTAGAAAAATACATTTGTTTTATTTCTATCACACTTTTGGGTCTCATGCATAAATCAAATCTAATTGATACTTACAATGTTTACATAACAAAATGTCTTCTGTAAGCATGTCCATAAATATTAGATATTTTGTAACATTGCTGATTATGTAGTGAGAACTAAATATTATACAGCATACAACATTTTAGAATAAATCATACTTCACAAATACTTGTTTAATCAATTAAACATACAGTGATGAGGTTTGCTGTCCTAATTTTTTTTTCTAATTTTATTGGAATAATAATCTGTATTTTTTTTCTTTTCTATTTTCATTAAAGAATTAGTCTTATAAAGATTTACTCAGAAATGATTTCTTCCATGTTCTGTGGTATATATTCTTTTGCAAATAAGTGTAGGAGTTTTGTCTAAGCTTATGCTCAAACTTCTATATTATTATAGTACTATCATTTGCTGTTAATACTGCTTTACCTTTTATATGGCTTTTAAAAAAATCAGGCTACTATAATTCCTTTATTTTACATATAATAATATAAAAATACCATAGAAAGGCAGCAGGTGAGAAACCAAGAGACAGTAAGTTCTAGTCCTGTCTTAATCACAAAGCCAGCTAAGTGTCCTTAGGCCATCACTTTCATTGCAAGCTATTTCCTGCCAGGAAAACTGCAGGGACTTGTGTTGGCACTTGTCAGGAGTAAAAACTGACTCAAAGATACCAAACAAAAAACCCCAACAAAAATAGTAGGATGAGTATGCATGAATTTCACATGAAATTTCACATGAATTTCACATGGCATACAACTTATTTTCAGACTACTACTACTATTTCAGCCTATCAGAATTTAGTCACTATTTGCAAAGTTTAAAGGTAAAAGTGAAGGTAAAGGTTCCCCTCGCACATACGTGCTAGTCATTTCCGGCTCTAGGAGGCGGTAATCATCTCTGTTACAAAGCCAAAGAGCCAGTGCTGTCTGAAGACGTCTCCGTGGTCATGTGGCCGGCATGACTAAACGCTGAAGGCACACGGGAAGGGTGTTACCTTCCTACCAAAGTGGTCCCTATTTTTCTACTTGCATTTTTACATGCTTTCCAACTGCTAGGTTGGCAGAAGCTGGGACAAGTAAGGGGAGCTCACTCCATTACGCAGCGCTAGGGATTCGAACTGCCAAACTGCCATTTTTTCTGATCGAGAAGCTCAGCTTCTTAGCCACTGACCAGCGTGCCACTGCATCCCGCTTAGTTATTGTAGCCTAAATGTAAATCTGAGAAGAAAAGGTAGACTGTAAATGGAAAATAACAAAGCCAAAAAACTCAGATCAATGTTAGGCCAAATAAATTATAAAGAATTGAAGGGCTCACGTATTACCCACTGAAAGCCAGGAGTGTTTTGTTATTGGAAATAATATTTTAAAAGTATAGGTCTAATTTGTGCAAAAGGCTAGAATATGCTTCATATTTGAAATAATAATATGATCAAAGGCTTCTCATCAATATCTGAATCACTGATTTCTTTTGTTTTAAGAGTGAATACTGTAGATTTTTTATAACTGGGTAAGCAAAAGACCTTGGCAGTCTTTCAGCCCATATCAAACTCTTCAAACATCCATTCTATCGCATCCCATGGTCATGCAATCAAAATTCAGGTACTTAGCAACTGGTTCATATTTATGACCATTGCTCTGTCCCAAGATCATATGATTGCATTTTGCGACCTCCTGACCAGCAAAGTCAATAGGGAAGCCAGATTAACAACTGGGTTACTAACTTATGAACTGCCTTGATTCACTTAACAACTGTGATAAGAAAGGTAAAATGGAGCAAAACTCACTTAACAAATGTCTCACCTAACAGTAAAAAAATTAGGCTCAATTGTGGTCATAAGTCAAGGACTACCTGTAGTGATGTAGAATCCAGTTGACAAACATAATATTTTCACTTGTAAAATTGGGCAAACTAAAAATCTTAATTGTAATTTTGCAGCTATAATTTTGTTTAGGCCAATAATAAAAAGGCTAATAAAAACAGTTGATTAGTATGGAAGTATTAAGAGCAGTATTGATCTTGTTAATTTTATGTTGTACATTCAGGAAGTGTTTCCACCCAAGTTGCCATTGTTGACAATTTTCCTTCTGTATCTTATTTTCTCACATTCCTTGACTTCATGATGTCATTTCCAGCGTCAATGGTATTCATATTCTGTCCCACATAACAAAATCTGCTTCTTTTTAAACCAAAAAAATGGTTTCCTGTTTAAATGTTTATTATATGTATTCATTTTTCTTCTAAATTCCTACTTCACTTGAAAGTCTGTTCCCCAAAGAAAACTATTCTAAAAATTTTCTACAAGTTTAAAATTAAAGTTAAAAATTTAACCTTTTATTTATTTATTTATCTAACTATTGCTTCTTCTGATCGTGCTACATAAAAAGATTGACTCTGATTATGTTCTGCAGGTTTCTCTTCCTGTCATAAATACTGAGCCAAGCACTCAACCCAAATCAAGCTATATGAACTTCAGTCTTCAGGAACAGGTAGACTTTTAAACTATAAATATAGAATCAACAAACTTTTTTATTCTTCAGTTTATCTCCCTACTTTATTACTTTCATAAATCATGCCTAAAGTGGGACCATAACTCACAAACACACACACACACACACACA